GTGTGGCTTTCATCATCTATATTCTATTGGACAGTGCTGCTCTACTCGTTGATCATGAAGTATTTACCAAATCTCTGCAAAGTCTTTCTTTAGGTTTCCATTACATATTTAGGACCATTCAATTTATTTGTTCAAACAAAAATGTTTTCCCTTCCTTATACTTGTCAAGTATAGTAAATGAATGATAAAGTATTAGAATTTCCTAACCATGTGAGAATTTTGTTACCTTTTATTTTTGAGAAATATTAATTCAGAAAAAATACACTATGTCACTATTTTCTCTTAGTGGTATTTCTAACTAAACTAGAGGAACTTTACTCAACACATACTTAGTACTAGACTATGAGCTAGCCTGCGGTGGCTTTAAGCAACCCCAGTCTCTTCCTTCCACCAGTTGGAAGCCTTGAAATACAGGACTTTCCTACCTGCCCAGATCAGGGACCTAGGCCTTACCAAAGGCGAGATGTAAAATAGGCCAGTATACTATCAGATATGGGTCCTCTGCCAAATAGAGATACTCCATTTTGGAGCTCCTTGGATACAAAGATTCAATAAGATTTCTTACCTTTGGGAAGTACCCTCATTATGAGCCTCTGTCCTGCCCATAAGCTATAACACTAAGAACAGGCTGTAGTAAGAAACAGAAGCAAAGGCAGCAATAAAGAGAAGCTGGCAGTAGAAAGAGGAGCACATTAAGAAAGAGGAAGAGTCAAAGAGAAGTTGACTCATTACTAGAGTAGAGAACAGCCTTTGCCCACTTTGGAAGATACAATAAGATGGTCCAACCAGGGCTACTGTGTTAGCCATTTTTTTTTTATAAGTTCTCTGTGAGATCTGGTAGCCTTCCTTACTTCTGGAGTATCTTTAAAATAAACCTCCAACCACCTAAGGTAACAAAGTGTTCTCTGTTCACTGGAACTTATATATGAAGGATATCTTAAGAGGGGAAAATTATGTGAAAGAGAGAGTGTATGTGTTTGTATGTGTGTGTGGAGGTGTTACCATGGCAGATATCTCCGAAGCTCTGAGTAAGAGAAGAGGGGAAAAAAGGGACGGATAAAGGGGAAAGATTTTTGAAGAGAATAAAAAAAAATTATACCCCCAAATTATCAGTGAATATGGTTTTGAGCTTACTGTTACTACTGCTAAGTGTAAATAAGGATTTAAATATTTAGAAATTCCAGATGAAGGCAGAGAGAGTAGTACATAAACTTTTGGTCACCTGGAATAGTGAAAACACTGGGGCCTTTGACTCAGACAGGCTCAGTTTTGAATCTTGACTCCATTTCTTACTGGATGATTACCTTGGGCAAGTTTCTTATTCTCTCTGGACTAGTTTCATCATCTGTCAAATGGGAATTATACGCAAGTTTTGTGGAGTTTCTGGTGAGCATTAGCCAATATCTTGTGTGTAATACTTCCTATAATACTTCCTGTATTTACTTTAGAAAAGTAAATCAAGCTATCATGATGATGATGATGGCGATAATGACAGAATACTGCTTTAAAAAAATATTTATTTATTTTGAGAGAGACAGAGTACAAGCAGAAGAGGGGCAAAGAGACAGGGAGAGAGAAAATCCCAAGCAGATTCCGTGCTATCAGCACAGAGCCTGATGTGGGGCTCAATCTTACCAACTGTGTGACCATGACCTGAGCTGAGATCAAGAATTGGATGCTTAACCGACTGAGCCACCCAGGTGACCCCAGAATACTACTGTTTAACTGGGCTCCACTTGTTTTTGATAAGTAAATTAAAAAATAAGTAAAGAAGGGGCACCAGGTGGCTCAGTCAGTTAAGTGTCTGTCTGACTCTTGATTTCAGCTCAGGTCACGATCTCATGGTTAGTGAGATAGAACCTGATATCAGGCTCTGCACTCACAGCGTGGAGTCTCTGTGGGATTCTCTCTCTTTACCCCTCCCCCCTCTCAAAATAAACACATTTTAAAAAACAAGTAAAAGAAACTCCATTCACTGGCAGGGCAAAGTGTTTAAACATTTTGAGCTCTGAAAAGGAAGAATATGCCTTTGGACAGCAAAAAAATATATAAGTAATTTTTTCCATAAGAGGACCACAATAGAATGTGAGTGTCCTGATTATAGTGGTTTGAGAACTTCTGAAATGAAAGAGATTTTAGAGCTTAGTTTATCCAACAAACTAGGAATTCCCTCCCTGCACTCCTAATGGGTGTGCCTCCAGTTACCTATTTTTATAGACATGTTTGCATATGTTTAGTGTGCAGTAGACGGTTCATTTTCTGTTGTTGTTTTTCTCTATGCTGTTATTTATTGTATGGTTTCCTCCTAAAGTATGTGCAGAAATACATGCATTACATTTTTTTATGAAAAACCCCAATGTTATTATTTTGCTTTTGTTTTTATTTTTTTTTTTTTTAGAGAGAGAGAGCACAAGTGGGGGAGAGGGGCAGAGGGAGAGAGAATCCTAAGCAGGCTCCATGCTCAGAGCAGAGCCTGATGCAGGGCTTGATCCCATGACCATGAGATCATGACCTAAGCCAAAATCAAAAGTAGTTGGATGCTTAACCAACTGAGCCACCCAAGCATCCCCCACCAATATTATTGTTTAAAAAAAAAAATCTCATTTTTAAGATTTTATTTACACTAAATATTTAGGTGACACTGCTGGATATCACCAGTGAAGATAAAAACTTCCAAATGGATTGTCCACAAGAGGAATGGCCAATTAAAAAATGAATGATTGGGGCGCCTGGGTGGCGCAGTCGGTTAAGCGTCCGACTTCAGCCAGGTCACGATCTCATGGTCCGTGAGTTCGAGCCCCGCGTCAGGCTCTGGGCTGATGGCTCAGAGCCTGGAGCCTGTTTCCGATTCTGTGTCTCCCTCTCTCTCTGCCCCTCCCCCATTCATGCTCTGTCTCTCTCTGTCCCAAAAATAAATAAACGTTGAAAAAAAAATTAAAAAAAAATAAAAAAATGAATGATTATAATAGGTTTATGTATATATGAAATTGGGAAGGGAGTACATTCTTAGAACAAGAATTTTTTTGTGAAGTTTATTTATTTATTTTGAGAGAGAGAGAGCGCACATACAAATGGGGGAGGGGCAGAGACAGAGAGAAAGAGAGGGAGAATCCCAAGCAGGCTCTACAATGTCAGTGTGGAGTCCAAAGAGGGGCTTGATCTCAACCACGAGATCATGACCTGAGCCGAAATCAAGAGTCAGATACTTAACCGACTGAGCCACCCAGGTGCCCTGATCTGAACTTTGCAGGAAGGAACCTTCAAAGTGCTCTAAAATGCTTTGGGAAACAATATGGCAGTTCTGAAAAAAATTAATCCAAAAATTGCCATATGATCCAGCAATTCCACTTCTAGGTATAAACCCAATAGAATTGGAAGCAGGGACTTGAACCCCCATGTTCATAGGAATATTATTCACAATAGCCAAAAGGTGAAACAACCCAAATCCATTGATGGATGAGTGGATGAAGAAATATGGTATATACACAAAATAAAATATTACTCAGCTTTAAAGAAGACAATTCTAATATATACCACAACAGGGAAGAACAGAGTCCTGCCTTACCATTCTTTAACAAGAGTTAGGAATAATTTTTTCTTTAACAAAACTTTCGATCTTGAAGTCAGAGTGAGAGCAGTTAGAGAAAGAAAGATACATAAAGGAACCAGAATGACAATGGAGGGTACATCACTGAGCCTTACCACCACTGCTATGTAGTGAGAAGGATTTCTTGAAGAACAGGTTTTGATCATGGAGGCCAGACTAGTCCAATATGAAAGGTGAAATGAGATATGTGTGGACCTCACTGTTTTCAACGAAAGTATTAGAAACATTTTTGGTTTTATTGTTTGTTTTAGTTATTACTAGACCAGAAAGGGTAACTGGGCCCCAAAGAACTCTCATCAAGGGAGGTGAGATTTCAGAGAACAGACTGGAATAATTTCCACCCTGCCACCCCAACCAGAGAATGAAGTCCCAGGAAGCTATAGAGATGTGCCCTCTTAAAAGGTTAGATAAGGAGTCAACAATAAGTTTAATTGGGCAATCACCCTTTAAAGACTGTGACAGTTACACCAGGTAGTCACGCAACTGTGGCCAGATTTGAGGCAGGAGGGCTGAGATGATGAGTGTAGAATGCTTCTAGCATTACCAGTGAGTTTTGAGGTGGCTCAGTTATTAGAAGACAGAGAGAGAGAGAGAGACAGAGAGAGAGAGAAGGAAATTCTGAGACACATTACAACATGGAAGAACCTCGAAAACATTACACACTAAGCCAGTCACAAAAGGGCAAACATTGCATGATTCCACTCATATGAGGTGCCTAAGGTAGTCAAACTCCTGCAGAGAATGTAATAGTGGACCCCACGGGGGGAGAGGAAGGGGAATGTGGAGTTATTGTTTAATGAGTCTAGAGCTTATGGTTGGGAAGATGAGAAGGTCTACAGATAGACAGTGTGATGGTTGCACAACCATATGAATGTACTTGATGGCACCACACTTAAAAATGATTAGGGGTGGGGGCACCTGGGTGGCTCAGTCAGTGAAGCGTCTGACTTTGGCTCAGGTCATGATCTCACGATTTGTGAGTTCGAGCCCTGAGTGGGGCTCTGTGCTGATGGCCTGGAGCCTATTTCAGATTCTGTGTCTCCCTCTCTCTCTCTGCCCCTCCCCTGCTCATGATCTGTCTCTCTGTGTCTCGAAAATAAATCTTAAGAAAAAAATTTTTTAATGGTTAGGAGAGTCAGGGTGACTCAGTCGGTTGGGCATCTGACTCTTGATTTTGGCTCAGGTCGTGATCTCACAGTTCGAGAGTTTGAGCTCTGCATTGCGCTCTGCTCTGACAGTGCAGAACCTGCGTGGGACTCTTTCTCTCCCCCTCTCTCTGTTCCTCTCCCACTTGTGCTTGCTCTCTCTCTCTCCAAATAAAGAAACTTTTAAAATGGTTAAAATAGTAGATGTTATGTATGTGTATTTTACTGCCATTTTTTTAAAAAGTGCTTGAAGATTGTAATAAATTCATGCAACGTGTAATGCCAGTAGCATGCAGTAGGGGGCAAAGGAGCTTAAGCTTCACTGAAAAGCTTGATTCAAGCACTCCTGCAGCCAGTTCTGGTCCAGCCAACAAATCATCCACACCTGCAGCTTTGCTAGAGCCGCTGCAAGCCAGGGGGTAAGAACTATTAGCCTTGTTTGCTCTAACACTCATGAGAAAGAAATAAGGGTGGGATGGGTCTTTTCTAAAGAAGAGATCATTCGAACACATGTACATGGGAAAGTAGCCTTACTCAGATTTTTAGTACTTATTATTTTGCCTATATTCATCTAAAGATTAACAATTAATGAGTGATGTCGGGGCTACTGATCTAAGGACTTGAACTGTCTTGTAGGTGCTTGAGGGTTTGGATTTTCTTTCACTGGTCGCTGATTAAACCTGGTCAGTTCTTCTACTCAGAATGGATGATCCCATCCTTGTGGTGAGGTTTCTCCAGCTTTTATTTTCCTGTAGTACATGTTAATATCATCTGCTTTGGCTATTTAAAGCATATTTGTTGCTTCTTTACTAAAGTTCTGCATTTTTGTTTTATGTCAAAAAGTAGGAGCCCATCTAATAGATTTTGTACAATGTAGATATCTTGTTCAGTTTCCTGCAAAAGTCCACGGTGGCTGAAGATGGCCATGTGGCCACTATAGAGTACAGGATGATTAATAGCACCTAAGCACCTGATTCCTAGAAGAGCTTTACCACAGACCACCTATACTGAGTGATGAATTGAAGTTCTGTGTACGGTCTAAGTTTTATTTCAGTTCTCATGAGTTCATAACTTAGGAATGGATGTAGACAAAGTCTCTTGAGCTTTGTGATACCTAGCAGAGTGACCCCTAGTAGCTGCATGCCACTTCAAAAAAGGCGCACAGGGTGGGAAGGGAGGAAGAAGCCACCATAACAGCTATCCCTGAGAGTGGAATCAAAATGGGTAATCACATCCTAAAAAACTTCATTTCACAGTTTGAAAAGCCTTCAATCTGGGTGCCGGAAGGGACTAAATAGGTCTGGGTTCACATCCATACTCTGTGACTTATTCACTGAGTTACTTTGGGTAAGTTACTTAACCTCTGAGTTTTGGCTTCTCCATTTGTGAAATAGGTATAAAAATGGCCACCATTTGGGGTGCCTGGGTGGCTCAGTCGGGAAAGCGTCCAACTTCGGCTCAGGTCATGATCCTGTGGTCCGTGAGTTTGAGCCCCATGTCGGGCTCCGTGCCGACAGTTCAGAACCTGCAGCCTGCTTCAGATTCTGTGTCTCCCTCTCTCTCTCTCTCTCTCTCTCTCTCTCTCTCTCTCTCTCTGTCTGCCCCTCGCCTGCTCATGTATGCGCACGTGCTGTCTCTCAAAAATAAACAAACATTAAAAAAACCTTTTTTAAAAAGGCCACCATTTTGTTAAGTTATTGAAGGGATTGAACAAGATAGTGTATGGAAAACATTTAGCTCTATGCCAGGCACATAGGTGACACCCAAAAAATGTCATTCTTGCTCTTTCTTATGTTGCAAAGATTGTACAACATGCTATAGGTTTTAACCCTTTCTCTACTTTTTTGCATCACTGGGAAAAGAAAAGTTAGATGGTTAAGTATTCTTTGATAAATCACTAACAGTCATTTCATAGTGTCTTTTGATTTGGATTTTTAAATCATAAGCTATTAAAAGTAATTCTCTTTTTTACCTATTTTCAGCAGAGCAGTAATAGTAGGAGGAGTATGATAAAAATATGCAATACATATTGAATGCATCTTTCATAAAAATTTTATGTTATACTTTTTAAAATGTTGTAATGAAATGCCATAGTGCACATGCATTGACTGAGAGATAGGACCTTTTTATTTTCTTACATTAAGGAAAGTTCAAAAGAGTTAGTTCCTCTCCCTTCTTTAGAATAAATTACAGATGAGGTTGTGGTATTGGGTAGGGAGAAGAGGTGAGTAATGTATAGAGATCATGACACCTCCTTTCAGGGGATTCTAAAAGTAGCAACTAGGTTAGATATTGTCGCATTTTTCAAGGGCTTATAGCCTCCGAACCTAGGGGCTTTAAGAAAGCTGCTAAAAATTTAATTACTCTGTGAGATGATGATGTTAAAAACACTTTTGTCAGTTTAATGACTATAACTGTCAGTGTCCTGCCAAGCCACATTGGATCCTGAGACAAAAGCAAAATTCAGTAATACTGATCCTGTCTTCACGAAAATTTTTGATATTTTGTTCATTGTGAATTTTTATGTTAAAATTAATTTTAAAATATTCCATTAAAACATTGTTTATCTTGATTCTTGAATTTCTTGACACTCCTTAAAATTTGTGTCTGAAATCACCCTACCCTTGGCCTAGATAACTGCTACCATTTGAATAAGCCACACATGGCAACAGTGATTTATATACGTGATCTCTTGTGCCTCTGCACAAAATTTATTTTATAGATGAAAAATTGAACCTTTCAGCAGTTAAATAAATAGTCTAGGTTAACACAGGCAGTAAATGACTAAGATAGGACTTGAACACAAATCTATCAGTCCCCAACACCAAACTCATGATCTGACCATCATGTACTACACCATATCAGGAATTCACAACACAAATTCATTCATTCAACACACATTCTTGAGAACATATTATGTGCCATCATGTGCTAAGAGATACAGAATTGAATTTATTTATTTATTTTAAAAGACTTTCTTTCTCAAAGTAATCTCTACACCCAATGTGGAGCTCGAACTCACAACCCTGAGATCAAGAGTCACACACTTCAACAACTGAGCCGGCTAGGCACCCCTCATTCATAGATACATTTAAAAAGTATTTACTGAGCATGTGCTTTGTGCACTATTCTATTAGGTGGGGATACAGAAGTGAAAAAGCTCATCAGCTCCTTTCTTCTCTCATGGGTGTAAGATGTGGAAGAGACAGTCAATAAACAAGTGCTCTGTTTTGAAGAGAAATAAAATAAGGTGATGTGAACTAATAGCAAGTCTGGCCAGTTTAGATTAGGTAGATGGTCAAGTCAGGACTCTTAGAGGAGATAAACTTTTTTTTTCAAAAATTTTTTTATTGCTGAGAGAGAGACAGAGTGTGAGCAGGGGAGGGGCAGAGGGAGAGGGAGACACAGAATTCGAAGCAGGCTCCAGGATCTGAGCTGTCAGCACGGAGCCTGACGCGGGGCTCAAACCCACAGACCGTGAGATCATGACCTGAGCCAAAGTCGGAGGCTCAACCAACTAAGCCACCCAGGTGCCCTTAGGAGATAAACTTTTTAAGCCAAGATCTAAATGAGAAGAGAGATCCAGCCAAGGAAGGGTTGGGAAAGAGTAACCCAAGGGAGAGGGGGGCGGGAAATCCAGTGCAAAGTCCTAAGGTCAGAGTGAGGATAGTTGTGGCCAGGGAGCAAAAAGGACAGTATGACTGGAGTGTAGAGGGCCAGGAGAAGGGTGGTATGAAGAGAGATCCTAGAAAGAAGCAAGAGCAGCTCATGGAGAGTGTTATAAACCAATTTCAGGTGTTTGGGTTTTATTCTAAATGTAACAGTATGTAGTTAGGACATAGGTTGGCTGCTGTAACAAAATATAGTGGCTTAAACAAGACAGGGCTCAACAGAATGGTTCAGTCCATGTCAGTCCTTATAAGTAATTGATATAAAACCTAAACTCTGTGGCATTTGCAGACTTACTCATTAGGTTCCTTGGACTCTATGATGGGAAAGTTTAAAGAATCAGTATGACTTAGTGAGATATAATTTTATTATGATTAGGTTATTACAAGATATTTTGAAAACAAATTTACCTTGACTCACCCTAGAGAGACAAGGTAGCTGAGGGGCTAAGACACCAGGCACTGGACTCACCATCTATTAACTTTGTGACTCTGAGGCAGTCATATGACCTCTCTAAGCACCACCTTCCATATCTGTGAAAGGTGAACTGCGGTAGCAGTGACGCTGTAAGGCTGTTGTTGTAAGGATCAAGCTATATACAGTTAGTATTACATAGCTCAATGAATGTTAGTGGTTGTTATTAAAAAGACATCAAGTGGCCACTGCCTCATTTGCATGACAGAGTCAGTATGGAGTGGAGATGCTATCTGCCTTGAATAGATATAAATGTATGGATTCATCACCCAGGACAAGTTACTAAGGTCATCCTAAAGGTGGGCAATGGATTAATGTTATGGTACTGGTAACAAATTTATTTTCCCATATTTTTAAAGTCTGGAAAATTATCATGAACATAAAGTTGTATTATAGGGGCTCTTTTTTTTATGTTCGTGGTTTGTTCTTATATTGATCATTGGATGCTATATTAAGTGTCATATAAAAAGGAGTGACCAAGAAAAGGCTACCTGGGATAAATTGGAAGAATATTCTCAGTGGAAAGGTGAAAACCCCAGGCCAGTTCCAGGTTACCATCTTCTCAACCCCATTCCCCACCCAGTGTCTTTTGTGCTTTCTTCCCCTGAGCACACAATGGACAAGGAATATCAAAATCAAAGTTTTCTCTTTACAGTCATGTCACAAGATGGTCAAGCATTTCTGTATCCATTTTTCTATATTCTACAAAATAGTTTTATAAAGTATTTCATTTTTAAGTTATTTTGGGAAATGTCCACATTTTCTAGAACTTCTAAACAACAACGACAAACTTAGGCAGGTTCTAGAGAAAGAAAAATCTAGATGAGCATGAGGTAATATTCCAGGTGTCCTCTTGTATGAGTTCTGCCTGTTTTGTCCCCCCACCATGCCTTCATACATATTATCTCATTTATTTATCTTGAAACTCTGGGAGGGGAGTACTATTTCCTGCATTTTACAGATGAGGAAACTCATGGATGCAGAATTCTGAGGACTTTGAGAGAAGAGTCAGACTTCAAGTTGTTTGGACACAGAACAGAGGCAATTAAAGAACTAAGTTTTTCATAATATTCATTATTCAATATATTTATTAAGTACCCACTCTGCTGGGAACTTTTCTGGGCACTGGGGCTATAGCAGTGAATAAAACAGATAGAACTTCTGTTCCTACATAGCTTACATTCTAGTAAGGGGTAAGAAAAGAGAGTCTATAAAAAAATAATAAATGTGCATGTTAGGTGGTGAGAAGGGCTAGAAAGAAAAATAACTTTTGGGGGCACCTGGGTGGCTCAGTTGGTTAAGCATCTGACTTCAGCTCAAGTCATGATCTTGCAGTTCACGACTTCGAGCCCCACATCAGGCTCTGCTGATAGCTCTGAGCTTGGAGCCTGCTTTGAATTGTGTGTCTCCCTCTCTCTCTCTCTGCCCCTCCCCTGCTCATGCTCTGTCTCTCTCTGTCTCTCAAAAATAATTAACATAAAAATGTTTTTTAAAAAAGAAAAGAAACATAACTTTAAGATAAGGAGAATAGAGAGTGGGGAGTGATATTTTGTAGAGGGTGGTCAAAAAAGTCTCTCTGATGTGGTGATCTTCATGCAGAGATGTGAAGGGAGTGAGGGAGCATGCCACTTGTCATCTAGGGAAAGTGTATTTTGGAAAAAGAACAGCAAATCCAAGTTCAAAAATCTGATGTGGGAGCATGCTTGGAAAGTGTAAGGAATGACCAGACTAGAGTTGGAGAAATGGATTGAAGATGTCAGCTGTTGCAAGGACTCAGGATTTTCCTCCAGTTGAAATAAGAAAATAGTGGAGGGTTTGTACTAGAAGAGGGTCAGATTCTGATGTACATTTTAAAGATTCCTCTGTTTGTTGGGTGGAAATGACTGAAGAGGCACAAGGTTGATAGGAAAGACCCCCTGGGTCTCTATCAAAAAGTGGTTAGATTCTAATATTAAATTTGTAA